TGGCGAGAGATGTCGCTATTCAATTTGATTACTATAGAAAATACCTTATTTTGTTTTTCCTTTCAGAAACTTTTTGTATAACGGTTTTTGTAAAATCAAACACCGATATATGTACCAATTCATTTTAGGGTCGCTCGCGCCGCCGAAACGCCGCCGCCGCCGCCGGTTGGTCTATTATCGGCGCTCATGTCTACTAGTTATGTCAAGTCAAGTAAGTAGTTTTTTTACAATTGTATATAACTAAAATTGTTTTATAATAATAATTCACAATTAATCCAGAGCAACAAAATTCACTCTGAACAACCAGACCAGAACCAATTTCGAAATGTTCATTTCCCAAATTGGTCCTATCGGGAATTTAACTCCTTCTTGTCCAGCGCCCACAGTATACACCGTTGGGCCCCCGAGATCGTTAAAATATTTGACAAGTACTCTATAAAGCAAATTAACACAAACAAAATTATCTTATGGCAGTACAAGTACAAATCATGCCTTTTCGACTAAGTTTAATTATTTATGTGGTCTGTGGTTTAATTACTCTCTTTACAATTGCAAGTGTGCAAGTAACCTAAAAAAATAAAGGGAAAGGTAACGAAACGTTATAATTACAGATACGCATGATTGCTGATAAAAAGATAACAACTATGTTTTTATAAATTCATTTGCAATCAGAACCCATTCAAACAAACATCTCATCGTAATTAACTTCATAAATATAGCTTAATATAATAAAATTAAATAAAACACAATGACGCAACCAAATGACAACGCAAATGGCAGGAAAATTGAACATCTGGATGATATTGTAAACAAAATCAACATGGGTGACAAAAAGTTCCATTCTGAAACGTCTCTCCAGAATTTCGCTGAAGAAGAGGAGACACAAAGTCCACATGTCATTAAGGATCCAGGGGTTTGTACATTTTTAATTATTATTTTTCTAACATTTTCAATATCGCCCAATATGGTTGAAGCTTAAAACTTAATAATAATTAATAATCACATTGGTTGAATTACAAAAAATATATAATTGCAATGAATCGTTCACGCGCTTGCACTAATTTTGTTCTAAACATAATGAATATAATCCGTCAGTTATATTTATGATCACATGCGATATTTAATAACACATTATCCTGCCTAACTATTTTTATGCACATTTTTTTCATTTACATATCTTACAGGTGCATAATACTACTATTAGTAACGCCATTCATTCCGACGAACACTTGGTTATGAGACGCACCATGTCACAGCCAGGGCCGGTGTCGGGAGGTCTTGTGACTGCCACAGCAGCACGAGCCGCAAGAAAACGTGCAACCAGATCCGTCAACTATGCTGCTGATCTTGACATGAGTGTAAGTTATTGCGTTTATATTCTATATATCTATATTCTATATTTTTGATGTACAAGCAAGTTATACTGACCAGGAATCTCTCAACATAAAAAACAATATGCACGAATGATAATAAAATCAATGTCTTATGTAAATGTTATTTTGAAACTATGTAAAACCATCGCTTTGGTTTCGTTCCATAAAAATCCAACCATTGAAAACTCTTTTGTAATCTAGTATTTCGATTTTTTTCGCGTTGTCAGTGTTCCCCTAAGCGATTAATGCTTTGCTTTGTGTCGTTAAAATAGGTCACGGTCAGTATTTAAAGGACAAAGTAAGATTTGTAACGCTGGCAATCTAAAAAAGTGTGGTTGCTTATCTAGTCTAGATATAAAATTAGAAATCTACTTATAAAGTTTTAGATGAATGTTTAGGCGCTAAACATAACGCCGCAAAACGTAATGTTAAGGTAACGTTGTACGCAGAATCTTCATGTTTTTATTTGTTATAAAATTATTTGCAATGTAAAAGCTAAAGCTTAAGGATTTTGCACGGAAATTGTTTTTGACTTGATAAAACAATTGTGGTATTTCTAAATCGTGTAATTCATCAAGATAAGTTAAGTGGCTTTATTCTGTGATGGATAGATTGTGTCCTAATACTCTTTATTGCGAAATATTTACGTCCTATCATTACCTTATTAATTTAATCATCATCGTGTGATGAACTTGATAGATACAGACGAGTACAAACTGCGAATGGAGGCTAGTACTCAGCTCTACGTATAAAATGGTAGAAAGCCCAGGACTTTCGTCTTAGCTTAATATATCTCTTATCCCAGCAACTTTGTTTGTCCCTAATACATTCCCTAAACAATTTGTCCCTAATTGTCCCTATCTACCGACCCGAGAGATAGGGTTTTCCGGAAAGACTACAGGCTTGACGGCAAGACCAGGATACGGCGGGCGTCGGGACAAACGCTCCGCCAGGCCCAGGTGGTGTGTAGCCGGGGCGTTCGTCCCGCGTGCATCTAGAGTAGCGATCTAGTTCAGGGCCTGAGGCGAGGAGACCCGCGATACGTGAGTTGCCCTTTAAGTCAGCAGTTAAGTCCGGACATTGTCGCAGGACACTGTTACTTGGCATTCCCGGTACTACCTCGGAGAGCTAGTAGAGGATGAGCTAGACATCTTCCGGTCCCTCCGGCCGCGTAGGAATATGGGAACTGGAGAGACGCCGTTCATTCGGTGTCGGGAAGTGGGTGTGCCTTACAGTTCCGCCACTAATGAGGAGATTTGGTAGTCGACTTAGAGTCGGCGGCTTAGCGGTGGCAACCGTTAGCCGTGCGAAGCGCGACGGGAATTAAGCGTGCCCACAACTCCGGTACCTATCTGGAAACTAGGGAGCGTGCTTTACAGCACTTACGTGCACCCGGGGCGGCTCACCTAAGGCACTAGCCTTACAGAGAACCAGATGAAGTTCGTAAAAACGGGCTAATATGGGGTTAGGACCTGACTTAGATGGTTCCTGTGCGGGTTCACTTGCACAGGTCATAGTGCCCTTCCCGCCTAACCAAGAGGTTTATAGGGAGGGGCACTATAAACAAAACTTATGTAGGTCCCTAATATATCTCTCATCCCAGCAACTTTGTTTGTCAGAGCTCGTATTGATTTTATATAACATGATTTTATAAAATTTATACTCATACGTATTTTTGGTTAGTGTATAAAATATTAATTTTGGTTTCATATTCTATCTAGTCGTCACATAATAGGGAGTCACCACACTTATCGGTTTGAAACTTTAAGCCAATTCGCTGTCGACGCGAACGTACAGGCTAGATGTCCACGCTCACAAGTATAATATCATTAGTCCACGCGGCCGTTCGGGAGCCTACGCGCATCGGTTGCATACGGACGCGATCGGAAATTCGGAGGAACCACGGCTCCGTCTCCGTCCGAAACAATGACTGACAAGCAAGTAATGCTCGACCAGATTAAAAGACGCATGATGCGAATGGAGCTTCATATGTGACATTATGTTTTGATTTGGTCGAGAATTACTCATTTGAACATCAGTCATTGTTTCGGAGAACGGCTCGTAGACCCCCAGATTAGTTGCGGAAGTGTGTCGAGCCGCGTCATATGAGCCGATGCGAAACGCGCAACGTCGTTTTCGCTCTTATTACATGGACATAAAGCTTTTTCTGACCGGCTTAATGTGAATCCGTGATGATAAGTACGGTGACTCCCTTATTGTACAGCTGATTCAAACTCTCCCATGCCTTATATATTATACTTATGAAACATGTTATGAAACCTGTTTTCTTTGACTAATATAATAAATTAATTAATATGCGTATCAATTGGATACTGAAACCATTCAATTTCAATATGTATTGACCATCGGCGGAAATTTTAACCATCTTGTGATGTCGTCATCTATATTTCAATATAGCCGCAAATAAAATGTAGACACAAATATAAAATCATCAACATTTTATTGATTTGTTGTAAAATGTTTTATATTGATCTTACGATATAATTCATTTATTTATTGGAGACACTACATGATTATGTCCCACAGGAGTACAATTTATTTATTGAAGAGCGTGATAGACAGGTGGGTGGGTTATATCTCTTTATACGTCTTTAATTTTGGAAACATTTCTAAAATGCACTACTATTGAAACAAAAAATATACATAAATATCGCGATCTCCTTGCTTTTTATAGTTTTTGCTGTTTCCTTTTTCGTTTTTTGATTGGTTGATCGTCAGTTGTTTGTCGTGCGATGTATTTTTAGTGCGACTTTGTTCTTTTCCTCACTGCCTTTCTGTCTTTGTCCATACAGTCCGGTCTATGTCGTCCACTTCAAATAATCCCTGCTTGTTCTCTGAACGCTTAACTGAGATCAACTGCGCACTTATTAGCTATAAAAAAAGACAAACGTCAACTCTCCTCAAATTTTCCAACTTTATCAATGCGGCGATTCAGTCAATCATTTAATCGTAGACGGATTTCAATCACGTGGCATACGCCGATCAGTAAATGATTTATTACACATTGGTTAATCGTTTTTTACTCTGCATACCAATAATTTAATCACGTTCTACTAAATAGCCGTTTATTAAATGTCGCTTATCAACTTCCCATTAGGAAGGATCTTATCTGTACGTCATATATCTGAGATAATTATATTGTTGTTTTAAAAAATCCCTTCGTAATTAATGTGATTTATTAGTTCTTTTAAGTTTTTGGACAACTTAATTAAATGTGTTAATTGGTTTAAATATATTTTATTTTTATTAAGCATCATGTTGTTTTTACTACCGTGACTTTCATCTATTTATTGTCAAGGTACTGCACTAGTTTGTTATTATTATTTATATAAAGATCGAACAAACACAAAAAAAAATTGCTTTGACCTGACTGGGCACTAACCAGCGACTTCTGCCTCAACGTGGCTACGTCCAGTCGGATTGAAGGATTTTTTATTTGGGTTTGTTCGATCTTAGTATTAATATTGGTTTATACGATGTACAATTTTCAGAAGAACTTTATGAAAATCATCATTTTCCGCAAAAATAAAAGGTTGTGGCAAGTGAAACAAATGAGTGCCGCACAAAGAAAGACTAACTCTTTATTTAGATAGATAGATAGATAGATAGATAACACGTTTATTCAGCACAAATACAAACAGAAACAAAACATTTACAATCACTTCACAGAGTATAACATAAAAGCACATAGAACATTCATTTATATAAAATACATACTGCGAAAAAACAAATACTGTGAGAAAAATAAACAAATACTATAAGAACTGATAAAATTTTAACTTATGATTGCCTATGACTACAGTTTGTACTGAAATGGCCCTGACTCAGCATAAATATTGTAGACCGAGAGAAGTCAAACAGTGCTGGTTTTCTGCCAGTACCATATGGTGAGCGATCGCAGGCCCGTAAGCCATGCCACCAAAGTGCACACACAAATATACATAAGTAACTGTAAATACTATCAAGTAAAAGTGTAAAATGTAAAGCAAATTATGTAAATAGTGTAAATAATGAAGGTAAGCAATATAAATAATAATGTAAGTTTACAAACATAATATTAAATTACAACAGTAGCCACCAAATATGAATATACAGGCTGTATATTTTAAATTGGGTCATACTTATAGAGTGCGTTATATTCCTGATTCTGAACCCAAAGAAATAATAAACTAATGAACTTAAACTTTACAAAAAAATGTATTTTTATTTTTTTTATCGACTACTACTTGTGAACAACATTAGTTATCGAAATCTATGCACATCGCTATTATTGCTCCGATGCAATGGCGAGCTGCGGCACGGTCGGGAGTAGGGGCGCGGGCGCATAGAGACAGTGCACGCATGACCTTGATGTAGCGAAGATACGTAAATTATCTGTACTTCCGCTCGCTCGCGCAAAATAGATATTTATTTTAACGTCGAATTGACTGAGGTGGTGCGACTTTACGCAATAAGTGGTGATAGTGTGAGACGAGCTATTGAAATGTTCCCAAATCGGAGTTTTACGCGGAGGAGGTGACCAGTGTCGAAGTGTTGCATGAGAGGATTATCTCAGCATTTTATACTGCGAGACAAAATGTGTTTGTGTTGCACAATTTAAAACAAAATTTCCTACGACGTGTTAGAATATGCGTTGTGGAAAACGGTGGACATTTTGAACACTTGCTCCGTACCACGTAAGTGTAAATAAACCGTAAATAACTAAAAAATCAATCATTGTAAATATTTTGATTTCACATTTTTAACTACACCAAAAACCTCAATTCTTATTAAATGATAACTAGTTACTAAATCATAAACTTATCTTTTTTAGTACGTAAAACATTTCGACGATAGTTCAGAAGTAAAAAATAATTAGCATAAGTTAAAACTTATTTTAAACTTATGTTAAAGCTTTTATCATCATAACATAAACATGCGTAGATGAGTAACTTAGTTTTTTACTTTCTAGAGAATTACGGAAC